GCAGCCAAAACTTGACGCCACCCTCAATGCAACAGTAAATTGCTTCATTGCGATGCATAATACTACCTTATCGAGATTATCATAGACATTTTCGCCCTCGAGTCAACTAGATTGAGGACAAAACTTGAAGTCAACGTGTGACTCATTGCCCCTTTTAGGTGCGAAGCAGCTCTTTGGCTAGCCTGTTTAACACAGTTCATTCGAGTCTCTGCCCCAACGCACCGTGCCGCGTTTTCCCTGTCGTATTTCTGGAAACCATGACAAGTAGGTCAATCACAGCTGTGCGTTAACGTCACTCTCTCCCTCACTTGCAGCAGCTGTCGGCTCCTCCCAGTACACGTAGTTGGTGTTGTTCTTCCGCCCGCTCGCAACACACTTCTCTCTCGCTTCACCCTCTCCACCGCCCATAACGCTCGTCTCCACGTTGAGTGGAAATGTTCTTTCGGCTCATTTATCTGCGATGAAACTTGCACGAAACCCAACACGCCTCTGATGTCTTTGCCTTTGAAAGAAACGCTTACTCGAGTAAATGCTACGGAGTTTGATTTCAAATTGTTTTTCCTGCATCCGCATTGACGCCCGTTTCAGCTGGGTCAAGGGTGTGCACGCCGCTGCTACTTTGCACGCTATCATGGTTCTCTGCGGAGATAGTCCGTAATTTTTTTGCATGCCGGAATCTTTGCCGTAAAGCCTCGGGTACCAACTTATAACGTACATCTCAAGAGAACTTCTTTAACCTGGCCATAACTCTCAAACGCTTCCCTCGACAAGCGCGTAATCACGTCGTATGCTTGCATTGGAAGTAAAGCTAACATGTTCTGCGCCAAAAGAGACTGCTTGATTGCATTTTGCTCAAATATGTGTTTAAACTCGATGAGATACTTCACCACGTCCTCGCCAACTATGAACGATGACAGTTCGTCTTGAATTCTATGAACGCTAACCTGCACAGTTGCAGAAGTTACACTAGGTGGCCACGAACACTGTAGAAGTGCCAATTATATTCTTTTCAACTTGAGGTGCACCAATCTTTCGGCCTCCTCATGGCGTTCTCATCTTTCACCCTCCTCACGCTCACCGAGTTCTCACCTTCTTGACTCCTCGCACTGCTCTCTCTTTTCGACCTTCTCACCACGTCCTTTATTATCCGCCCAGGCATCATCCACATCCTCAGTCAATACTTCTTCCTTCTTAATCATGTTCCCTAGAATCGCTGGCTTTTCTTTCGCATGGCCCAGAGCAAAGTCTTGTTCCTCACAAAGTTGGATGAGTTCCTTTATTCTAAGGGTCTTCATCACTTACACTAGCCTCTTGCTGTTTGCCCTGGTTTAGAATTTACTTTCCGCCCCCACAATAGGTCTAAAAGGAAGTTTTTCCAGCCTTCTGCATTAACTTTAGTGTTATAGCACTACTTTTTTACTTGTAACAATAAAAGCTTACTTTAATGCGCCACACAGCCCTTATTTAAACTACTATAACCAGTGCTAGAGCAGTGTGGTGGACTGAGGAGAAAACATCAGGCCTCCCCGCATCAAGGTGACTGGTGCCAGTGGATCCCGCAGCGGCCATCTACTGTTGGCTATCGCGTGTCTCAGCTCGTGGCTGCATCTGCGCCGAGCTGATAGACGGAGCGCACAGGGTGACAGTGAGTGAAGGCAACATTTATGTACAGTAAAAAAGAGGCGTTCGGCACAAATTCAGCACTAGGGCCGACAGCTTATGGAGCTCACACTGAGAGGCGCGATGAGCCCTGATTTTTTCGGTTGCTCTCTCACTCTCCTTGCGCCGCTTGGTTCTTCTATAGGTCCTGGGGATCTTTTGCATCAGCCAGTAGTTCCAAGCCTCGAATCAGGAACCACCGTTGGCCGCTGGCTGGAACTGGACTCGTGGGTGAGGTGGGCTTTCCGCACATTGCGTAAGACTTACCGCAAGAAACGCTGTTGATTGCATCACAGTGGCTCGCTCGCTGGTTTAGACGCTGGTTGCAGCAGCCAGTCCATCGATGTTGACGCCACTTGCATCAGATGATACCAGCTTGAATACTTTGCAGAAGCAATGATGTTCGGTTTGAACTCACAGGCATAACAATCCACACACCTCGCAACTGCGTTTCCATCAGGCTGCTGAAACAATCTTTCAAATTAAGATGGTGTTGCCGGGCTTTCTCGTTAAGGCATTGCCTAAATTGGCCTACGTATTCTTGGCCCCAACACAGTGGAATGAGATTCACAGCCCAGACGCCCACTCAGTAAACCCAGTGAACTTAGTCTGGACACGCACTCAGCACATAGTTGCGTCAAAAGTATGCGCCAAACGTATCCTTAGGTATGGTGTGTGTTTGCATATAATGAACGTGGACAGCACCAGTTTTCCAATTACAGTGTGAATTCAAGTGAAAGCCTAGAAATAATAAAAATGTTTCAGGACAGGTGATGAAGTAAGCAAATATGTTTGACTCTTCAAAGTTATCATTCCACAAGTGCGGTGCATCTTTTAAGAAAAGGCACGTGAGTGGATAAGCAAGTTGGGCAAACTAGGTGGAAGTATTAAAAAAAACACTCCGAAAATTTCGAAAATACTGCACTGTTCGTGGCTGCTCAAAGTTACGAACCGCTGCGGTCTTCTGTGGTTTCGCTTCTACACCATTTTTGTTCATGAGAAAGCCAAGGGTAACTGCTTGACGTTCGCCAAAATCACTTTCTTTTTCAGTTAAAAACAAGGTGCGCTGTCTATGTGCATTCAAACACAAGCATTGAGTGGATGGCTGCGTTCCTGAAAAAATTTTGTATAAATATTAGCGTCACCTTTAGATAACATGCCAATTATTTTTTAGTTCCATTCAAGGAGCTCGTCGTTCATAAATCTCTCGAATGTCCGTGGAGCATTTCACACTCCGTATGGCATAACGCGGAACTGTCAAAAACCATCGGGTGTTACGAAGGTTTCATCATTCTAGTCCGATGGGTGCACAGGAATTCGAATAAACTCGAAACACATGTCCACAAAGGAAAAAATTGTAAGGTGCAGATATTCACAGCATCATTTATACGTGGCAAGGTTGATTGATTGATATGTGGGGTTTAACGACCCGAAACCACCATATGGTTATGAGTGGAGGGCTCTGGAAATTCCGACCACATGGAGTTCTTTTCCGTGCACGCAAATCTGAGCACACGGGCCTATAACATTTCTGCCTCCATCGGAAATGCAGCCACCGCAACCTAGATTCGAACCCGCAACCTGCGGGTTAGCAGCCGAGTACCTTAGCCACTAGACCACCGTGGCGGGGCAGTACATATGTGGCAAGGGGTATAGGCCTTTTTATAACGGGGTTTAGGTGGTGATAGTTCATATACAGAACATCATTCACTGTTGTTTTTCATGAGAATGAGAAGAGATACCTTCCGACTACATGATACTTGGACGGCTTCCTCCTCAACAGATATCCAACCTACTTCGAAAAAACAATAGAATGAGGTATGCAATGTTCAACCTGCAATACGATAACTTTTCCCTAAGAAAGTAACATACAATTATATTGCGGAAAAAACGCTGGTGCTTGCCCTAGGCGTGTCCTTTGCATGCTAAGGTTGAGGGTTCATATGCAACAACACAAAAAGTGATTTTGCTTGCACTTTACCTTTCAGTTACACTGAGAAATACCTTATTTACCAAATCCCAGTGCACCCCCAAATTTAAAGCTCACTTCACTTCCACTATCCATACAACAAGAATACAGCTATATCGCTCTTTAAACAATTCTCCTTTTGTACGAACTAAGTGAAAGACGGCAGCACACAGCTACGCTTCATGTAGGTCAAGCGAGACCTGGAATCCTGTTTCTTCTGAACGTAGACCGAGGTTTTGATGAGTAACCATGAAAGTAGTGTGTATGACCTAGAACTAGGAATATGAACATAAGCTTTTACAAGCGTATACCTGAGTGGTTACTGACCGGACTAAGAAATACACGCTCGGTAGCTCTAAGCTGCGTCTCTTCAAGCCGGAAACGTCTTTACCTCAAGACGGCCTTTCTTCGATGCAGGAATTATTTCGAAGTGTGGAGCAGGTTGGCTGTCATAGGTTGTGATCTTATGCTGTCACCATTGAGTAGTGTAAAGGAGGTGAAATCACAGGTAGCACAGCCATTTGAGGGCGTGTTCGCCACTAAGACAAATGTTGTTCCTCATGTTCTTGGAATGCATTGATTATAATATTAAGTGTGGACCACATTAAGCATTGGGCTGTTGTATGCTGCCTTAGCTTAGCGTAAGGAAGCCAAACCAAAAATGGTGAAAGAGGAAGTAAGCGACAATTACAAAGAAAGAGACGAAGAAAAAAGTAAGACAAATAGAAATAAAGGGGCCGCCCATATCCGTACTTTTCCCAGGCTTGGAGCCCTTTGTGCCAAGCTCCAAAAACTTCGTTTATTTTTGTAATTAGCGCCAATTGTAAAAGTTGCAGCTCATTTTTTATACAATGAAAACATAGTAAATGACCAATAAAAATTGTTTCATGCGAACAAACTGACATTCGGTTTTGCAAATAATCAGCCTAAGCTACTAATCTCAATAATCGTGCAATAGATAGAGTCTGCATTTCAAAGGTGTTTTGTGTAATCATGTGACCTAATGCTTTGGCATAAGTCACAAATTATTTATTTGAACTCTAAGTTGACTAGATTTGCTGCCTTCAATTATGAGTCGAGATGCTGCCAGTTATTTTAATGGTTTTTTCTGACCAAAAAAATCACTAGCAGCAACTTGGAGGCACAGGAAAAAAGTGTAATGTCTATTTAAAGACATATCGAGAATTCCAAGATCGAAATTTTTCCAAATTCTTTCAAAACGCTAGCGCTATCCTTAGCGCTAGTGACAGGCATTCCTAGTTTAAATAACCCAGTCATGGAGGAAAGTATCATTTGAGAAAACACCTCCAGTAATTATGAAGATGCCATAATAAGTTATGCGATAAGCTGCATCAACGCAACAACCACTCACGCAGGTACCATCCGGAGCAATTGCGAACAAACTCTCAAGAAGCTTTCCACGACAGTCTTCACAAATGGCTCCTTCCACAAGGGGGTGCTGAGTGCATGTATCACCGAGGCGCAGCGCAGTGTCACAAGCGATGCACAGGTCTGTAAGTAAATATAGCCCTTAGGGCGTTGCTCTGCCAAATGAGGCAGACAATAGCCACAGTTGATTTCAGAAGTATGACATAGTTATTAACGCTGTATGTGTGGTTTATCTCATGCGGTTGATGTTACTTCAAGCAGTTATATTCGGACTTCACTTTAAAAGCTTGGGGCAACAACATCAAAGGCTGCACCTACGTGCAAGCAAGTGGCGCCATCTTTGAAGAATACTGCCGAGTATAGGAGTAAGAATATAACGTTATATCTGTAGGCATTTGGCTGTCACGCTTCAGTTACATAGGCAAGATCACCAGACTCACAGTTCAGTCAATACGAGGTTCGTCTAAAGAAGCATGGTTTAGGTAAGCAGGGCAAGTGCCACCGCACCTCGCACCGCATCTCGCACCACCTAGGCTTGGCTATTCTTCTCCAGTTTCGGTTAGTTAAAACACGCATGCGTTACGTTTTTTTGAAAACATGCCAGGCGACACGCGACTAGCACTTACAGGTTGTTTTCTCGAGAATAGCGAGGGCTGCTCGCTCAGTAGAGGACAACATATTGAGGTGATGAGTGGCGGTATCGCAATGACCCTCTCCTCACGGGGCTACGTTAGTCGTCCACTGGATAATTTATTCAAGTTTTTAGCTCTATCTCCGGTTTCAAGTCGCATGACCAGTTTTTACGTGAGAATATGTACTTTTTGATGAAGTACCAACAAGTAGGCCCATGTGCTCAAATTTGGGTGTACGTTAAGGAATCCAGGTGGTCAAAATTCCTGGAACCCTCCACTAAAACGTCTCTCATAATCATGTCGTGGTTTTGAGTTAAACTCACATATAATCGAAATAACGGGGTTGACAGCGTACATGCAAATAGGTAGCGCAAACTGTGTGCGTAAGCAGAAGGAAAGGCGCCGTCATTGCAATTTAGCATAGTATCAGTGGTTTATATTAGTAATGATTCGAGATGAGTTCTTACTAATCCAAACCACTAATACCATGCTACATCACAAAGACTGTGCTTTTCCTTCTGTTAGTACACGCAGTTTGCACCATCTATTTGCACGCACACAGTCAACTCCCGTTATTTGATTGCTTCCAATATAAACAAGGTATGCAAGCTGATTGATTGATTATGTGGGGTGTAAAGTCCCAAATTCACGAGGACTCCGAAAATTTTCTCCACCTGGGGTTCTTTAACGTGCACCGATATCTGAGTACATAGGCCTACAGCATTATCGCCTCCATCGAAAATGCAGCCGCCGCAGCCGGGATTTGATCCGGCGACCTGCGGGTCAGCAGACGAGTACTTTAGCCACTAGACCACAGCGGTGGGATGGTATGGAAGGCGAAACGTCCGTGTTATTTTTTAAAGCGTTTTGGGTTGATGTATTTCTTAAACTTTTGACCACGACAATATATTAGCAAACGATTCATGCAAAAATTGGTGATCAGGTTGTGACCCATGTCGCTATCTTGTTATCAGATATACTTTTTTGTCCCGCACGTGTCATTATAATTTGTGACAGTGCAATTTGTTTACCATAAAAATGGAAATTTGATAGCGCAAGACATATCAATCACGGCGCATTGCTACTTGGTGTGCTTGCTACAATGATGTACTTTAGTTACATTCTATTCTTTAGCAGACGAGCTGGGAGTTCTCTCTCGAGTTATTTCAGTCTGATCTCTGTTCTTAGTATTGTGAATTGAATGACAAATTGTTCATTAGTGCCACGCTCACTAATTCTGCACTTACACACCTTCATTCGGGGCTGCTTACCTGTTGCAATCTGCGCTGCTTGTTGAGGGGGCACTGCTGGCTCTTTTGCAATCTGCACTGATTGTCGAGTGGGCACGGCTGGCCCAGGAATCCTGAGGGCTTTCAGCACAGCAGTAGGCACTACACAGGGAGTCATCAGTCATCAAGTTGGGAACATGACCTAAGCTCACCTGATCCAGTCACATGGGCGTCCAGAGAAGAAGACTTTTCCCGGAACCAAGCAATCAAGTCCGTATCGTCAGGCAGAGGCGTACAAGATCGGGCCACAATCACCTGCAGTACATTTTTCTTTATGTAATCAGAATGTCTAATAGCACTGCAATCTGAAATCTACAAATTCTCTGAGAGAAAACGAGACAAAATTTAGCCTCTTACATGCTCTTCAACAGAAGTTTGTGCGCCGTGTGTTCTCTGTGGTATATCATATATTTTGTACGTAACTTAAGGTGTCAATCCCAGCTGGCGTCTACAGAGTAACAGGTTAACAGAGTAACAAACCGTAATTGGGTCTCGTGCGCATCGCCTTCAGAACTGCTAAACATTTTTGGTTCTCGGTGTATGGCCTCAATCGTGCTATAAGTAAATGAACGACTGTAGTCGTAACATTGGTTGTTTCGAAGTGTAATTGAATTCCTACTGCAAGCACAGTTAATAGGTGCCCACTATAGGTCTTGATTACTTGCTTCGCGAATCAGCGAAGGGCCCTCCGAGTTCGTAGGTCAGCTCGCGAAGCTACTCAAGTTCACTTTGTTGATAGTTCTGCTGCTGATGATGATGATTAATACACATGAGTGCTTTCTAATACGTGGGCCCTCAGAAAACCCACTTGTTAATCGATTCTCATGTTTTGACACCTGGCGTGTTTTGACATAGATAAACAGTTACAACAAATATCCTGGCTCTGTGGTAGAACTCAGGGCATCTGCTTGCCACGTAGACGCCCTGGGTTTGATTCTCGCTCTGACCTGGAACTTTTTATCATATATTCCACTCGCATATTTCAGAGCTTTTTGGTTTCGAACAAAGCGATCAGCTTTCGCTCAAAAGCAATGATGCCAACAACAGCCTGGACGCCGGAAATTCTGTGAAATGAGCTCTTTAAGGCTATCACCTTAAAAATGTTCTCTCTGATTGAGCTGCTTTTACTTTCTCGAATAGAATAATGCCGAACCTAAAGTAGTGAAAGACAAGTTAAGAAGTTAATTCCAGTCATCCTGTTGATGACTCCCATTTAAAATATCGCTCTATAAATCTCCTACAATGAGGTTTAGTTGAGAGGTCCTCAGGCACCCTGTTGCGCTCCTTGGTATTCTTCTTCAGCGCAGCTGGAGGAAAATAAAGGAGGATAGATCACAAAATGGTGCTTGAGAACCCAATTCTTTGGTGTACCTTGCACTACAGCTTCCTACAAAAACGAGGTGAGGACGGGTTGATCGCTGATTGGCATGGCCACAGTACCTGCGCCAGCTCACGAATGGCTGAGCTCTCCTAGCCCCGATTGATGTTCCTATATGGGTCATAACTAACCTAGTGATGTCATACACTACAGGCCGTGGCGTAGTCATAGCATAGGCTGAGAAGGAAGCTTTTTTAGAGATTTTTTAAAATCCTCTTGGGCCAAGAACTACAAGCACATTAGCAAGGTACCAACTATGCCTTAAATTATGAATGAGAGGCCGGATTTTTAGGCACTGAAAAGGTGTTTTTTGACCCTAAAGACCTGCATGTAAAGCACCGTTTTAGGCCTCTAAGTAATAAATATAAGCATAATAAATTTCTACAAAAGTTGAAATATTTAAAACAAAGACGTCGCTGACTTGTATCACAACAAGCAAAAGAAAATGATATTGTTTAAGGTAGCACCAAGAAAACAAAGATTCAACATAATTATGCACTTCCCGCGTGATTCGCAAATTGCAAACTTTCGCTTTATTGTCCAGCATCTTGAGTCAAGTGTCTACCGCTCAATCACCACTCTTCTGGGTCTCTTTCGTTTAGTCATGAATTTGAAGTGCAGTGCAGGAGCAAGTAACCTCACCACTGATATCCCATGGAAGGAAGGGATGCCAGGTGTATTCGTGTAGGATCAATTTCTCCCTTGTAAGTGAACACCTTTGAGAGCCCCTCACTGGGTTTGGGCATTTCGAGCTGACAAGCGATATGGATGCATTGGACACTCAAGACCATGCCTGCAAATATTCGCAACGCTGCGTGTCACAGAAAAGCACTTGACTTCTGAGTGCCACTCTCTCTTCTCACGGGCGCACGCCCCAAAATGTAGGGAGTGACGTACAGCAAGTAGTGGTGCTACTTTCACATGGATCTTTTACATAACATTGGTACTTGACGTAGCTCAACGTACACCCTTCATCAGAACTTGGCTACACACTAGCTACATTTAGAAAACACGGACGAAAAATGTCGCGTTTCCTGATTATATCCTGCATTGCAAACGATACATCCTTAGGAGCATTGCACGTGACATTATTCTAGATGGCATGTGTATATTTGTGTATTCTGTTGTGTAGCATGGATAAGGAGCATTTTCGTTTGGGTAACTGCTTCACATCAGTTTGAAAAGGAAGTGCAAAGACAAAGGGAAAAGAAAGACAGCGCTCTTTGTGACTATGTCTTTCTTTTTCCTGTGTCTTTGCACTGCCCTTTATAATGAGTATAATGAATGAAAGATGAGAAAAATAATAATACACGCCAACAGAATAACTGCTTTTCATTATTTTTATTTTTGTTTTCAATGGCTACGAGAGGGTGTACACTAACCAGTCCTCATTTCACATCCACCGAGGGACCAGTGGCTAGGGTGCTCTACTGCTGACCCGAATGTCGCGAGTTCGATTGCGGCCGCGGTAGTCGCATTTAGATAGATTCGAAAAGGTAGATGCCCACGTACTTCACAGTGCCACGGAACATTACAGAACACCAGATGGTCGAAAATTCCGGAGATTTCCACTACGGCATCTTTCATACTCATATCGTGGTTTTTCACGTAAAACCACATGCACATCCTACCCCGAAACTACTACAAGTTCCTGCATCATGCCTTCGCCAACCATGACAACGCTTAGTTTGTGTTGGGTGTGTCATCTCTGACCGCAGCTTTGGTGTAGCAATGTCGTGTATCGCTGTCACAATAAATGATTAATGCTAGCCGCTCCAAAAGTATGCGCACTGACTGATCTATCCCACAAAAATGGGTAATACACAACCGAGTAAAACGAAGCGACACATTATCGATGACGTGGGTGCGCAAGTAGGCAAGGGCACGTCATGCACGCATGATCATGCTTACACATGATGATCTTGGTGCGTATGCATCATGTGATCCTAGAGCCCCCATACTGAAAAGAGCATGGCGGGAATTATGGTCGTGATGGTTACATGGGGCAAAAGGCCAGGAATGCAAGCTTGCCTCATCGCAACACTGTTTTGTGGCTCTTAGTGAATCAATTTGAAAAATCATGGCGGTGGAACGCTTTTCATTGGGTACGCGAAATCTTCTAGTGTCTAACTACTACTTCTTATGTCACCTAGAGGGGGGTACTCATAGAAGTAAATTGCAAACAAAACAAAATCAGCAAGCACATCACATCTTTTACCTGAAGGCACAGCAGCACATGAGTTTTAATCTCTAAGAAAACATGCCTACAATAATGCAACACACTTGTTCTCTTCATAAGTGATTTCAACTAACGAAAAACGAATTATTATGACAGTTATATCTGATATGGCATTTTGAAGTCGTAAAAGAATTACCATTGCGCGAAGAAAATTGTTTAGGTACAATCATTTTGGAATGCGAGTTTTAAAATAATGCGAGTTGTACCACAGTTCACTATGACGCGATGATAGAAATTCCCATTCTAGTTCATTTTTCATATTGGCACAGCTGTCATTTTTGAGTAATTGCTTAGGACAAACCTCTGCAGCCCTGTTCTGTTTTTTTTTTTCGTGTTTGTCACCTAAAGACACATACCAAGCGATCTCATACAGCACAAGTGTATTCAGGCATATGGTGAGTGTATGCTAAATACACCATAGATTGTAAGCATGCTGATGCCTGTCTCAGGCTTTGCTGTGTAATGTATGTAATGATGTCGCAGCCTTCGCCCCCACTGTATCAAGATGAACATTGAATGAATGGCCCTCTATGGTTTTTCATTTGTTCTCCACCCACCTGCGTCTCCACAGAAAAACCTGCTGTTTCCTTTCCCAACGCAACTACCCATGTTTTCAGGGTGATTGTTCAGTTCCTTCTGGACACTCGACAGTTGTCCATAGAAGACGGTCGCCACGTCCTCGGCCATAGATGCCAATTCTCAATTTCTTATACCATCCTTTAATTTTCTCTCATGCAGATGCTGAGACGTGATTCTATTTAGGGCTGCAGAAATAGCACGTTTTCACTCCTCATGATTCAATCACTCGCAGCATGTCAGCTTTGTGGGATATGGTGGCCAGCGAGTGCTATTTCACTGTGGTTAGCAGTTGTTTTGCAGAAGTTGCTAGCAGCTAGAGGACTTTGTTGAACCTCATAGTGCTTGGAAATATCTATGTTGCCTTTTTTACACAAATAAAGGTTTCAAGCGGCATCCAAAAACACAATTTAGGCTTAAATAGCGTTCATATATGCGCTGGTGTGAAAAATAGGCATTTATAGGCAGTTATGGGCATTTAAGCACGAACACCAAATATAGGTCCTTTAGAGGCATTATAAAACACTATAAAAGCCCTTCTTGACTTCTAATTTATGCTCACATATTCAAATGGCATGATAGGAAGGCAGGAAAGAAAACAGGCATTTGCCTATAATCTGGTCTCTAATCTTTGTGAAGTGGCTAGTACGGAAGCCTTTACTATGCCTTTATTCGTTATTTTTCGGAACAGCGTGGTTCTCGGGGCACAGGAAAGTGCACAGAAAGTACACATAAACACATATCTGCTATGGTTGAGCCCCTCCCCTCCCAAGAAAAAATTCTTGCTGCACCCCTGACGGCAGCCCGGAGAACACGTGACCTTCAGCCTTGAAGAGCAGAACGCAATGATATGATCAACCCCGTGCGCATCCCATTTTCGACTGCACGCCTGGTGTATGCCTCAAACGCGCTGTATGCATCAAACGCGCTGAAGACAAGCAAACGCCTGTACGCGTAACATTAGCCCTAACCAAAATATTGTGGAATGCCTGCAGCAAGTACAGTTGCGCAGTGCCCGATACGCTGTTAACTATTCTTTTTCAAAATCACTGGAAAGGCCTG